TTTTCAAAGGCGATTGCAACTGAAATCAAACCGACCGCACCAAAATCTTCAGCGATGCCTCTCGTCGTGACGTCCAGTGGAAACAAAACACTCAAGTCGCGCTCCATGCCCATGGCCAACGCCTGGATGGAATCCGATTTGGATGCTCCATCGTTGACGACTACGCCGTCACCACCGCGCACGAAGCGCCAGCGGCGCCCACCGTCCATTGCGCAGCGCGAAATGAGTCGGCGGCGATCCAAAGTGTATTATGAACACCACAAACACCGCGTCTTGGCCAAACTCAAACTCAAATACGAAAAGCAGCGCAGCGAGATCCGCGCCAAGCGCCGAGAACTCTACTACCAGCGAAAGCTGCTGCAAACGACAACGCGCGACCGCCATTCGTTAGAGTATATTCTCAATTGAGCCAATGTAGTGTTGCTTTTGAGTTCGCCGTGTGCAGTCGGTCGTCCGAGACATACGAAGGCAGGATCTCGTGAGAAAACGTCGCTCTCAAGCCCAAGACACAAGTACTTGAGAGCACGAGCCGTGTTGGTGTCTACTTAGCTGCTTGTGGTGGGGAGGCTCATTTTGCAGCAGACACTACTAGTATGGGAATGCCCCAAGCTGGCGAGCCCGTCACCACGACCTTCCGTCCTTCTCACGATTCTCTAGCTCGACTCGTGTGCACTCTCAAGCAGCCTCGTGGATCGCCGTGTCGGCCGCCATTGGCAAGTGTCCAGGTTGCTGCAAGAAGATAGCGCGATGGTCGACACAACCACACCTAGAGTCGCACGCTGCCGGCTTGAAAGCGGACGTGCTCCATACAAGCAGGCAGGGTCATCACAGCCTTGGCATTCTGCCAAGCATCTACCGACGGCGTTGCTATTGCGTCTCCCCGTAGACGGCCGAGCAGATCGGGGGTATCGAATGCAGGGAAGTCCTACCTGCCCAGTGGTCGACGAGGTGGATTATCCATGACGCTACGACCCCTCAAATGCGGAATGGCGTGCGCTCGACACCCTGGGTTGTTTGTATTGTGTTTCTGGTCTTCTGGTCTCCAATTGTTTGGACCTGCTCGTCCTGTTGCGTCAAGTATCTCTTTCTCTTCTTAAAATGGCCAATATCATCGTGTGTTGAGCCCCGCACCAGGACTTCTCTGTACGAGCTGTACCCTATGTTCCTTGTCAAAAATGCTCAAGTGATGGCCACATTTACGGTCTTCAATTGTCTGTCGAGTCGGTACGCAGGAGCGGGAAAATGACGCGCGGATGATTGCATCGAAAGATTTCGAGCCAGAAAGGAGGCAGCTCCATCCCCGAAAAGACTCTCGGGCGTGTATGTATTGCCAAACTTTCAAGTCGCATCTACGGCCGATCGTATTGTAGTCAGCGCCAGCCGTGTTGCATCCAAAGCTCTGCAGGAGGCCCCATAAGCAAGCACCGGTCGCGTTGTACGTAGTACATATTCACATAAAAGTACAATTTGTCTACTCCATGGGAACACGCACAGTCGCTCGCAGAGCGACACGTAACGCTGGGACAGCTCGAATCTCTAGCCGGCTACATCAACCGGTTAATTCAAACCGGCTATTTATTCTAACAGGTTCATCCGGTTACCCCAATCGCAACGTTCTACCAGAAGGCACGGCGCCGACGTACCCGTACAGTACATGTACCTCGCCATCATCTTTGTGCCCGGTGCCATCGTCGCGGCGGCCACCTTGTACAAGCTCTACAAGAAGTAGAGTCGTGTCCATCTCTCTCGTCCCATTGTGTTTCGTTTGTTTATAACGAGTTGTGTCGTGTTTTTCTCCTACTCGATTGTGTCGATGGTTGGTTGTCGCAAAGTTTAGCGCAATCGGTGGAGCTACAGTCGAGACGGGTGTCTTGTACAACAATAGTGCATCTCGGGGACGTTCTGTCTATAAAGACCGCGCTGGAGGCCTCTTTTTTCTTCCTTGCCCAATGCGATCCAAGCCATCGCTAGGTGTGATATCGACCTCGTTGCGTTTGAAACTAAAATCGCCAAGCGTGGACCCTTGGTAGAGGATGCTGCGGAGAGTACGGCTGGCGAGGTTGCACCGCCTTCCGAGTCGTTAAGCGGTCGCGAGGGGCAAGATGTAATAGGGCACATGCCAGCAATAAGATCGTAGTGGCAGTTTGAGGGCAACGCGCCGTTCGTTCGAGTGGAGCCTCACGCACCAGAACACGATCGATCTTGCGCGCAGGTCACAGAAGAAGCAACGATGCGCGTCTCGTTGTTTCTCTTTTTAATCTCCCATGGCTTTTGTGCAGCTGCAACGTCGGCAATACGGCGGCTATCTCTCAGCCCACTAGGGTACAAATCACACGACAGGACACAAATCAAGTATTTACAGTTTACGCAGATCCACAGAGCACTTAGGCACACCAGTACGAGCCGTACGAGCCCGAGAGGTACTCGCAGTAGTCTTGGTCGTAGTACGAGCTCAAGCAGCCGCCAACAGGCGGGTAGTAGCAGCCCTTGCAGTCACACTTGCCGGTCGGCTTCTCGGTGGGCTGGCTCGTCGGCGTCTTCGTCGGCTTGGGCAACGGCTGCTTGGACGTCGGTTGCGGCTGGTTAGACGACGGCTGCGGCTGGTTGGATGTCGGCTGCGGCTTGCCGGTCATTGTCGGGTATGACGGGCGCTCGGCCACGTTGCACATGCCCTTGCCGCCACCACCGCGCTTGAGGTACATGTAGCCCTTCTCGCCCCAGCCGGTTCCCCACGAGTTCTTGATCTTAAAGTGCTGCTGGCCGTCTTTCGTGCCATAGCCCACAGCGATGACCGCGTGGTCCGACTGCGCACCAGGGCAGCTCTGGACAACGCCGCTCTTGTAGTTGCGCCACACGTTGTTACCGGCTTCGACGACGACCGTCACCGGTTGCTTGTCGAGCGCCGACTGCAGCGCGCTCTCGCCTTGAACGTCGACCGAGTTGCCGACGCTGACCTTGGTTTTTTGGCAGTTCTTGCACTGACCGTTCTGGTTGGAGCTACCCGACGAGTACGGGAAACTCGACTCGGTGCAGAGGCCGGTCTGGGCAATGTAGTCGAGCGCCTTGTCGGGCCAGCCGCCCTGGCAGCCATGGCCGGCGCTGGACGCGCAGCTCACGAGCTGCTGCTCGGAAAAGTCGACGAGCTCACCCGTCACAAGGCAGTGCGCAGCCTCGACGGCGCCGACGGCCGCAAACGACCAGCACGAACCGCACGTACCTTGGTTGCGCACCGGCGACATGCACTTGTTGGCCGTCCAGTCGACGTCCGTGGCCTCGCGCTGTGCTTGCGAGAGCGACATCTGCACGTTGTCGGCGCGGAGCTGGCGCTTGGGCGTCTCGTGCTTGAACGCACCTTTCACAAAGGCCGCAAACTCGTCTTCGGTCATGAGCGCAAACTGGTTGTCGGTCGAGAAGACGGCGCCGCTGTGCTGCTTGTTGAGGTCGTCGACGATCTTTTGCGTCGTCGCAAAGCGCTCGAGCTCGTCGTCGATCTCGCCGTCCTCGAGGTTGCCGTGCTCGGTCTTGGGCGGGAGAAAGCCGTTGGCCTCCGCTTGCTTCCCGGCGTGGCTGGCCTTCCACGCCGCGAGCTTGGCGGCGACATCGACCTTTTCTTGGGCCGAGAGGCGCAGGCCGTGGGCCGCCGACGCAGCGAGGAGGAGCGTCGCAATGCAGTAGGAAGTCGACTTCATGGCTGTGGAGCAAATGTGATAATGCCGATGAGCGTCGCGCGTCCTAACGGCAATCTGGTGGGCCCTTACCGCCAGCTTTCCATGATCACATGTGGCAATCAGAGGATACCATTGCCAACGCAGCCTTTCTATCTGAAATAGTGTAATGATTGGTCGCTTCCACGCTCTGGACAGACATTGTAGCGTATCGAGGACGGAGTTTAGACACTTCACACGTTGAATGCAAGCGTGCTTCACAAGCGGCAGTCGAGGCGTGTTATCTGCTACGATGTTCGAGCCCGAGGCAAAAGGCCACCGAGTGAGCATAACACTATTTGTGTAGAAAAGAGCTGGACCAGTGCACCCTTTCTCACATTGCCGCAGCATTTGTACGGTCATGAGTGCAAGTTTCCAGCAAGTCACGTGGCGTTCCACAGGTGCACGCTCTTGCGCTGGAAATCACACGCTAAGAGCAGGAGTGCGCTAAGAGGCGGCATACACGCGAGTATCGATAGACCTTGGACGATGCTACAGATGCGAGCTTGAAACAGCGTTCCATGCGTTGCAGCGTGTCAGAAGCCGAGGGTCTGGTAGCCTGGAAATGCGCTGTCCAAGGTGCGAACTTCCACCACTGTAGTTAGTGCTGGACATTGCGGATGCAGCCCGTGACTATTGAGGCCAAGGTCCAGCACAGTGTCTGGAAGAGCTACCAGAGCGGCGACGTGCAGAGTTGTCCAGGCGCCAAGTCGGACCACGCGGTGCCAAGCACCAAGGGACTAAATATACCCTTGCAAGAACGCACTAGTACAACGTAGAAAATCTCGTCGGGCGAACGATGGGGCGAGCAAGGGCACGACGACGAGAAGACCTACTGCGAGCACCTTGCGCCGCTCTACCGCACCAAGAGGTATTACGTCCCTGCGATGACATCGACGCTGTCGACACATGCATCGTGGTCGATCTTCGCACGACGGAACCAACCCTATGGCGAAAAATATCAATCTATCAACCTCCCCACCTCTTTGTTCGATCGCGATGGCGACAACCACGAGAAACGCCGTGTCGACAGCCTCGATGGCGCGCCAAAATGATGCAAGTCGACGCCGCCCGACGACTCTGTACTCGTAGTACGTGCAGTTGGTAGTGCAGGGCGTGATGGCCTTTGCTTGTACGGCGCTCCCACCACCGCTCCTCGTGCATGGTTGCCCGAGCGTTGGCTCAAGGCCGCATCCACCTGCAGCAGCTATGGACCTCCTCCATTGCAACGAATCATCCACAACGCGTTCGATGCCACGACCATCGTGCTATTCGTATGAGAGGAAGCGATGACGCCTACTCCTTCTTAGCCGCGTCCGTCTTGGCGCTCAGCGTCGGCGTCTTGTAGCTGTAGGCGGCCGCCGCAGTGCCATCGTACGCCGTCTGGGCCGCGCCCGTGCTGTCGTACCAGACGCCGTTGTGGTACGACCAGCCGGCCGCGTAGTAGCTCGCATAGTACTGCTGCCACTGCTGCTGCGCGTCCCACGTGTAGGCCGCGCCGTACGACGCGGGGTAGGCTGGCGCCGCCGACGGCACGGGGTATGCGTTCTCGGCCGAGCTGCCCACGGGCGCATTGGCGTTGGCGGCCGCCTGCACCGCCGCGGGAATCGGCGCCGACTTGTCGGGCACGATCTTGATCGTGTTGTGCGAGATGATGTTGC